GAGATAGCGACTTTTATTTAACTGACTTTTTGGGAAAGGGCCCAATAAATCGATGCCAATTATTTCATTTGGAAATTCGGATTTAATACTATTTAGAAACCCGGCCGGGCGGAAATTAATATAATTAACTGCTTGACATGTTGGGCAGGACTGGACATACGCCCTTGTTAACTTTTGCAGTTCAGGAAAGTAGACTGCCTCGCGTACGCGTTGGATAGTTTTTCGAATACCAGCATGAGAAGCTAAAGGGCTGTCATGGAGCTCCTGCAGGATATTTAATCTAAGACTAGCTGGGATAACAGGTCGAAATTCGTTGTTGGAATTCGTAGTTTTTGTATAGAATAATAGACCATCTATTAGTTCGTAATGGGCCGCCCTATTTCTTATCGCCACAATATCTTGGTGGCTAAAATTTTCAGGATCCTTCAAATACTCATAAATGCTTCCAAACTCAGGATCCTTACCCAGTTCGGTTATTACAGTTTCTCGGGAATTTATTGTACATGCTGTAAGCATTGCCACCTTTACGGTATTACCTTGTTCGTCTATTTTAATTCTTGATAGGGCATCTGCTACGATATTTTCCTTTCCGGGGGTATGCTTGATTACCAGATTATATTCTTGCAGCTTGAGTGCCCATCTTATTAACCTTGGGGATAAATTTTTTTCTGAGTACAATCTAGTTACCGCCGCATGATCAGAGTACACTGTTATCGGCGCCTTTCCAAAATAGACTCGGAACTTTTGCACTGCTAACAGAACTGCAAGTGCCTCTCTCTCGGTCGCGGAATAGTTTCTTTGTGTTTGATTTAAAGTTCGGCTAAAAAATGCCACGGGCTGCTGATTTTGCGAAAGTACCGCTCCTACCGCATAATCCGAAGCATCCGCTGAAATTTCTAAATTCTCATCCTTTTCAGGAAATTTCAACACAGGGGCTTGCGTTAATGCTTGTTTTAATTTTTCGAAAGCACTATTGGCTTCGGCCGTCCACGAGAATCTTGCCTTTTTCCTTTTTAATTTTAACAATGGCTCAGCGATAGCCGCAAAATCTTTTATAAAAGGACCTATAATATGAACAAAGTCCTAGAAAAGAAGAGAGCTTCTTCGCCGTGGTTGGAGTCGGATACTTTTGTACAGCGATTATTTTTGATTCATCTGTCTCGATCCCTTTTTGAGATATTTTGTAACCTAAATATTTTAATTCAGGGGCTGCAAATTTGCACTTTTCGACATTAACTTTTAGACCGGCCTCATTTAATAAAGAAAACACCTGTCTTAAATCCTGTACATGTTGGTCGAGATTATCACTAGTAATAATGATATCGTCTAAATAGATAAATGTGGACTTTCCAAGAACAGGTCTTAACACAATGTCCATGCATCGCTGAAATGTTGCCGGGGCCCCTGAAAGGCCAAACGGCATACGCAAAAATGCATAAGTGCCAGACTTGGTTATAAAAGCAGTCTTAGGCACGTCCTCAGGCCTAACCCCTATTTGAAAATAACCAGTCGTTAAGTCTAAAGTCGTCATAAATTTGGTTGATTTTATGTTCCTTAAAATTTCTTCTAATGATCGGTAACGGATATACCGGATATTTAGTTATGGAGTTTAATTTACGGTAATCAATAGCGAATCTCCACCTTTTTGGATGCGTCAAAAGGATAGTCATTATTTTTCTTACATAAAACCACCGGGCTAGCATAACTACTTGAGATGGGCGTTATGATCTTTTTACGTAGCATATCGGTAATATGCCATTCTATAATTTTTTCCTTATTCTTATCATACCGGTATGGTTTTTGACGAACTGGCATTGCATCTCCGGTGTCAATACTATGGTTAGTAACCTGAGTAAATCCTGGAATATCACTAAATAACGAAGCAAATTCACTTACCACTTGTCGGATTCTTCCTTGCTCGTCATTAGAGGTGGTTTGCGGTTGTGCTTGGTATATTATTCTTACTTCATAACACTTTACATACTACATTTTCGCGCAACGTCGTATTATCCGAATTATATCATTGAAAATTTTTCACACATTATCTGTATTTATTCACTTCAGGAAGAGTCAAAGGAAGAGGGGTTTTCGTGGCCTTCGGATTTCCGCACCCTCCCGTCAGCAGAAATCCGTTTTAGTTTAAATTATTTTTCCTTTCCGTGCTTTCCTTCTTTTTCCACTGGCCTTGAGACTTTTTTCCTGGGTTGCTATTGAACTGTCGACGTTCGCCGGCTGTTTTTGAATGCTCGGGTTTCCTTGCCCACTGATTCGCTTTTTCTCCGTAGCCGTGTGCTTGAGTTTGCTGTAGTCTTGGCGTACCAAATTGGTTTCGCTGTTGATATTGGCGTCTTCTTTCGACGTCCGCCGTTCTTCTACTTTCAAACTGGATTGCTAGCTCAAATAACTTTTCCAGTGTAGTCGGATTTCTTAATTCAATAAAGTCTTGCACTTGGGGCAGTAACCTCGGCAAAATCACTTGAATTATTTCAGGATCCGGACGGTTTCCATACAAGAGTTTTGAAAACGTGAATTTTTCTTAAAATAAAGCTCGAGAGGTTTTCGATTCTTTGTTGATATATACTGAAAAGTTCCGTTTCTAATTTCGCACGATCCCTTACAACAGGGAAGGCTTTTAGTAGGGCAGTCTTGAAATTTTCGTAAGTATAGGTGGGACTTCCTGCTTGACCCAAGAGACTTCTGCCTATACATTTGAACCAGTTAAGCGCTTGGCCCCTCAAAGCGCTGGTAGCTAAGGTAACTTTTTGAAACTCGTGCACGGGGTAGAGCATGAAGTGGTCATCCAATTTTTCCAAAAAACTGGTTACCGGTGAGTTTCCATTAAATGTTGCTTCTGGTTTCATCGAAGCGCGCATGGTCTGGACGATGTAACCAAATCCTTCCAGGGCGGCAGCTGGCATTTCTGGATTCTGAGCCGTTTCTGCAGGCAGCACAGGTTCTTCTTGAAACTCGGCCATGGTTATTCTTCTTCGTTGGGCGCCACTATCAGGTTCAATGTTCCTTCTTAACCTTCTTCGGGAACATACAAGGACCTGACTCGGAACAGAGAGCTTACTAAAGCTATGTTCACTAATTGTGGTAAGTAGACAGGATACAGACGAAGGGTATACAAAACCCTTTATTTTTCTCTCTATATACAATAACTTCCGTACTTCGGAATACACTGACCCGCTACTTGGGGTCTAACGTAAAAGTATAAAAATAAAACTAAACTCTAATTTAACTTTAGAATAATACACGTGGAAGATTGGCCTTATATTAACAGGAAGCGTATGTAGTACAGAGAACTGTGAACACTACAGTACGTTTAAATTTATCAAGAGGATTAAAACCTCTGGCCTGGAAGGCAAACAGCAACTGCGTAACTTCTAAGGTAAGCGGCCTGCTTCGACTCACTGCTTCCTCTCTCTCGCTTGGCAAAAAGGCCACAACTTAAATACTTGGCGTTCGCCAGACAAACTTTGCATAAATAACCTTCAACGCTTATAATTCTGGCCGGAAGTAGAAATAAGAAGAAGTGATAGTAAAGATTTAAAATAAAATAAACGTTAGTAAAACTTAAGATCCTTACAAGCTGAATAAAAGGGTCTTTTCATCCTTTTTATGTGTATTTACTGATAAAAGTTGAACTTGGCGAATAGTCGCTTCACAGTTCAAATAAAGATCTAGCCTCCGAATAACTTTAAATTAGCTAGGAATATAACAAAGTTTATAAATCACTTATGCGTCCACACACACACACACACACACACACACACACACAAAACTGCTTGAATGATAAGAAATGTTAACTGAAGCAAAATTTCGGATTATAAGGACATAGTAGCTCAAATTATGGCCATTTTTAAAAAAGTAAATGAAGATTATGTAGAAACAGAAAAGGACATAAAAAGAAATTGTCTTGAATCACAATCATCAACAGCTAAAACCTGCAGTAGCGTGACAATTAACGTATATTCGCAATTAGCAAGCGTCCTCTTCTCATGAAAAAAAAAAAAAAAATAGCCCTTCCGGCCAGATAGAGGCTGAGTAAGAGGAAGTACCGTATATTGCGACGTATAACGTGCCCTATAATTTTAAACTATATTTTTTAAATTTTAGGTATATTCGCCGTATAACGCATACCTTTTTCTTTACGAAGAAACTCGAAAGATATATGTGTGATTCTCTTTCCTTTGAAGCCATTCATTCATTCAAAGATTTTAACCGAATAACGGTATACTTTTAACAAGCGATAAGGGGAGCAATGTGCGTGGGGGAGAAATTCTTGAGGGAGTAAATAATTGTGCAAAGAGAATGGGTTGTATTCAATGCAGGTGTGCCCAAGAATGTTATTCTAGGGTTTCGAAGAAAGAAGAACGTAATTTAGAATAAGAGTGCTCTTTCGACCGAACGGATTCACGGAACCCGGGGTCAGACGTTTTCTCTTCCTGTAGTCATTTGAAGCCGTTATTTTGAGGTGAACATCGAAAGTTTTAGTTGCAATCGCATTTGCTTTAGTTGCAATACAATTAATCCAGTATTCCTTTTGGTAGTAAATATGATTCCTGCCAAACTAAAAACAACACAATGCTGATTTTAAATTCAAAGTCATTCAATTTGTGGAAAATGGAAATCGTGCTGCAACAAGGATGTTTGGTGTTGGTGAAAGCTGCATATGTGAGTGGAAGAAAAATGAAATCACAATAATTAATATACTGAAGAATAAATGTGCTTTGCGTATTGCAGAAGCGAAACATGAATCGTACATGAAAGCGTTGCAAACTGGGTCCTAGAAACTTGCCAAAAGGGATTAAATTTAACAAGAAACAGCTTACGTTTATTTTCCTTAAACTGGGCAAAAAGAAGCAAACGGAAGTGAAAACTTCAACTTTGAGATGGAGTAGTCGATTTATGGCACTATTTATTATTATTATTCTACAGAGGAAAAATAAAAGTTTTGCAAAGGAGATAAAGTAGTATTTCAAAAATTGTATTCTTACTTAGGTACAATGTAGTAATCGTTGTCAGCAAATACAGCATGTTTTATCCATGGAGCATCAACCTACAGTTTATTAAAAAACATGAGCAAAAGAAAAGATTTTTGATAATTATAAAATACGTAAAAAATAATTTTAAAAGAAAAAATGAAAGATCTTTAAAAAAACAATATGTATTATGATTAATTTTATGCATGAAAAAATATTCCTCAGATGGAATGTTCCAAAAGAGCATTCTAGAATAAGATTGCGAATCTGAAATAAAATTTAATACTTTGACAACGTACTTTGAATGTCAGTGGTGGAAATATTTTCAGTAATGAAGCTGAAGTCATTATAGAGAAATCAAAACTTATTAAGGAAATTTAAAAAAGTCCTTATTTCTAAATTAATTAATTATCAGTAATTAGTACATTAATGCACTACTTTTTACATATTTTCTTCTGCTTTCTTTCGTAAATCAGTGAAGTTCTATTCCGAGGAAATAAAAAATAAAATAATGTATTTCTAGCTCCGTGATTTCTATGAAAAAGAATAAACTTTTATTTTCTAGTGTTGGGGGGGGGAGTATCCACATGTTAAAAGAAAGTATCCGCATGATGGTGGTTTTCTAAAACATTCTCTATAGAAATTAAATATCACTTTAATTTAAATAGCAATATCTTTAGACAGGACACAGAACCAAATAAAGAACAATAATAAGAGGTACCTGTGTCATCTTATAAGCATCAAACTTAATAGAAATCCGATTTATTCGGATTTTCCATGCATTTTTATTCTTAAGATATGATATGCGAAAGTTTTGAGTTTCTTTTTAATAGATAAAAATAAAGATACAAGAGAACCAAAGTTTTTTTCTTTCTTTTCCATCATCTTAGAAAGAATTGATTATCACAGAAATTTACTTTTCTCTTTCCAAAAGCAAAACTAAGAAACAAATTTAAATTGTAAACTAAAAGTAAACTTATAAAGTTTGACTTGGTATCATAAACTAGTATCAAACCTTAGCAGACTTGGTGCGAATATCGTTTAGTCTGAAGTTAACCACAGAGACTTTAGAAGGTGAAGAAAATAACCTTTTTATTGAATTAGAATTTGAACATAAAATGCAGGTCTCGTGCTTGACAAGATCAACTACCACTTACGATGCAACTTAAGGTAATAGTCAAATTGAAATTAAAATTTCACCTAGTTGTCAAAAGATTTCACAATTTAATTTAAAAATAAGTTGGCACAGAAATTCTGACTGAAGTACAGTTTTAAATGACGGCAACTATAACGCAAAGCAGAATAATTACAGTCTTATCAGAGCTGGCGTGCCTAGTAACGTGGCTTCGAGAAGCAGAAACACGCTCTGTGTCTGTCTCTCGAGTTTCTGCCTCTTACAATCCAAAACCCTTGACTTAAATATTCTCTGAATAATTTGCATTCTGGTGAGGAAATGGAAAAGAGAAGAATTAGTAAAGGCTAAATTATAAATAACTAGTTAATGCTAAATGATACAGCCATATAAATCATACAAATTTATTGTATGCATTAGTCACCTTACTTATTGTATACATATCGTAGAAACTTATTGTATACATTATTTAAATTTATGCAAACTATTATAAATTAAGTTTAAATTTCAAATTTACGTGCTTCTCTTTCACAAATTCTATTATTATTTGAAACACATTACTGTTAACGTACGCTACTTATTATGCATGAAATAATAAATCATACCTATTTGGTCATTTCGTTAATAATAAAAACACAAATAAAACTTCTGCTTACAAAATATTTTTGTTTGAAATATTACGCAATTCATACATTTTAAGGCGAATGATACCTGCAAAATTTAAACAAATTACCCGCTTTAACTCAAAATAAATAAATATGTAATGCACACCCTGCAAGAATTATGTACACATGATAAAAGCGAATAGTGATAATGCAAAAGACAGGACAAGGTAACGTCAAATTCTAAGAATAATTCAGCCCTTATGCCTCTAAATCAACTGAAAACGCTTTAAGAACTCAAGAGTGGGACAATTGGTCTAGTTAAAAGAAAGTATCCACATGATGGTGATTTTCTAGTCCATGGACTTCACCACAGAGTTCTCTAAGCTATGAATACATCACGTTATCTGGGCACTGTTTTGCCAATAAATTACTTGAGAGTACTGTGGTAACAACAACTCCAGAATGTCATTTACATATTGTGCTGCAGTGAAGGTAGTACGGAGAACAACAAAGGATGCTTTTGGTTGTAGGTACAGGTAGAAGTGGAAGAGGCACGACTCTGTCTCCAGTTAGCGACCACATAACGCTTTTACACTAACCATCTTGACCAGAGCTGCCTAATCACTGCTGTGAGCATCCATGTTGGACACCTACCCACGAGCAAATCCACAACAGGTAGCAGAGTACTGGAGCTGGTCGTTCCTGAGTTTGCTGAACAATGCCACCTCCCTTGGTTCAGCAACTCAGGAACGACCAGCTCCAGTATTTATTTGGCTGAAAAAAAAATTAAATTACACTCATGTCCATAAATTAAGGATAATTTGGAGTCACGCGGAAATCGAACTCTAAAATAAATATATCACCTGTAAAATCACTACATATTTCTTCAAGAATCATATGCAAATTTCAGGAAGTAACCAGATGATACCGATGGTACGTCACAATGACGAGAGTGTAAGAGAGTGATATATAAGGAATACAGGCAAAGAAGTAAAATTGTTCGCAGGCACTTTATAAGCATTTCAGTGCAATAACCGAATAGTTATGACACAAAGGACGCATTTGGATGATTTTTTACGTGGTAGAATTATCGACCGTCTGGAATGTGGGCGTACCCAACTGGAAGTATCAGACGAACTTGGAAATGCCCAGAGTGTCATCTCCAGGCTTTGGCCACGATTCCAAGATGATGGTAATGTGAGTAGACGTTACAGCACAGGTCGCCCCAGAGTTACAACGCCGAATGAGGACCGGTATTTGGCAGTTACTGCCAAAAGAAACAGGCGGAGCACAGCCTCAGACCTGTCTCGTCAGCTCTCTTTAGCCATTCGTACGACAATTTCAAGGCAGACCGTGTACAGACGCTTAGGGCTGATTGGTCTAGATGCTCGTAGACCTGTCAGATGCGTTCCACTTACTGCAACTCACTGTCGCCTGCGGTTAGCCTGGAGTAGAGAGCATGCATTGCGGACACCGCAACAGTGGGCTTGTGTGTTGTTTTCCGACAAGTCCAGGTTTAACTTGCAGTCTGATTCTCGCCGTACTTTCATATGGAGAGCTCCAGGTACCCATTACCACCAAGAAAACATCATTGAACGACCCGTTACGGTGGTGCAGGAGTGCTCGTTTGGGTGGAATTATTCAGGGTTCCAGAACTGACCTGCATGTTCAAATTGGAACCATGACAAGCCAAATCTATCGAGAAGTCATTCTGGAACAACATGTACGTTTGTTTCGGGGCGCCATGGGAGCACAATTTGTGTTTATGGATGAAAACGTCCGTCCTCACCGTGCAAACATTGTAAGCGAATGCCTTCAGTCGGGGGATATCACTCGTATGAACTGCCCAGCATTCTCACCGGACTTGAATCCAGTAGAGCACGTGTGGGACATGCTTGGCCGACGAGTTGCAGCCCGTCAACCTCCTTCTACATGTCTACCGGAACTTCGGAGTGCATTGCTTTTTGAGTGATGTAATATTCCCCAAGATCAGATCGATAATTTGATACTCAGCATGCCTAGGCGTTGTACGGACTGCATTGCATCGTCTGGGAGACATACAATGTATTGACAATCATACCAACTATGTAATATTGATTTTTTGTAAATAGGTGTTTTTCGTAATTTCCTCCAGGGAGAAAAAATCGCTAATTTTTTTAATAATATCAAACATATAGCATCTTTTTTTGCTCTTTACCTTTTGTTTAATAAATAAGCGCTACAAATAAGTCAAATTTGTTTTGCTTCTAACTCTTCCTTTGCCTGATTTTGCATTATCCCTAATTTATGGACATGAGTGTATTTCCATTTTCATTACTGCCTTGGTACAGCACTACTTGGTACACTGATCAAGTTAATTCATCATTAATTAGACAGTTGTATATAAATTCTGTCCTAAAACAATATAATTCTAAATGCAGTCTTATTTATAATCGTAATACAGCTCTAATTATAATCCTAAGTACTGTCCTAACACGGAATTTTGAATAAGTAATACAATCTTAATGAAATTACTAAAAACATTTATTGTAGCAATTCAGCGATGATATTAGTGATAGCAGTTTCGTATTCTGCCATGTTACTTGACACAAGTTTGTGCTTTCACTGGCTAGATTGTTCAAGATATTATGTATTTTGCTGATTCAAGCTGGAGTTTTAATTAGTCTTTTAACACTCAATATTTTGAGGATGTTCCAGGTGAAACTCATTGGTCATTGGTCACTGGCAGACGTAATGGATCTTCCCGTTCCCCACGCATGCAGATATTGGTAGAAGAAATATTTCTGTCGAAGTAATATGTGGGGAAGGCGCGATGACTTATTAGAAACTGGGTGAGAAATGGGTTAGAACTTAATTTCTTTGAAACGTTTTGGATGAAATCGTGTTGTTAGCGAGACACGGTTTCCCATAAGTCAGTTATTCAAGCTGAAAAGGATTGATAGCATTACACAATAAAGCTGAATTTCACATTGATCACTTATTTGTGGACATGTCGTCATTTAATGTCCAACGCAAATGCTATCTCATCACTGAAGACATACTACTATTTGCTGACACGGCTTCTCGCTCATGGAAGTAGACACTACTGAAATAGTGCTTATTGATGCCCATTTGTCCCTGCTAGGTAGAAGCATGACCTCATGCAGTGTCCATGTACATTTGTAGGGTTTATATTTATTTTAACTAACATTTATTTTAAGTTTAAGCTATCATTCCTGTCAAGCCTTTGCTTTCCCCTGGAATTGCCAATGCCAGAGTATGTAAATTTTAGTAGAACGCGCATAGTATTCAAATTTTAGCAGAGTAATTTGAGTTAAATAGAAGGGAAACGAGATTTGTA